TACGGGAAATTACCCTCTGCCTCTAATTGAAGAACATTGAACATTGAACATTGAACATATTGAGATGTATTGGCATGAATACGAATCTCTGAAAACGAGCTTGTTCGCCACTCTGTTGTTTTGTTTGAAATATACATATAAAATTATATAGATATATATATATTTAACACCGGTATGTGAACAAACATGGTGCCAACATCACAACAATAAAAGCAATAACAATAACGGGATGGGAAGGTTGAGATACAGAACATAGTAAAAGAAAGCCAAAATGTTAAAATGGAAAATTGTAAATAGCTGCGATAAAAAATGTTTTGTTTCACCGTGCACTTTTTGAAATTTTTGTGTGTTAGTTTATCGTTCTTTTTAATGGGCACGGGACTTCAGCAGGCGAACCGTACAGCATCTGCATCACTGATTTCTATTCCGGGCCATATCTTCTAGCGTCTCTAGCCAACGTCAATCCTCCTCCCTTGAGCCCCGACTTGGAATGCGGGCTTCACCGACCCAGGCCAAAGCTGAGGACAGCTTCTTCATACATCTAAGCCTTGTCATTGTCTGACCACCGCGGTGCTTCTTCCAGCCTTACCTGGCACGTACGAAGAGAGCACGTAAAGGTAGTCGATGGGCAGGCATACGCAGTACGTGACCAAGCACGATTCGAGATGGAACAGCTTATGGGAGTTTCCCATGGTGACAGCATATTCCATCTCTGATGCCCGTTGAGCCCACCAGATTTCGAGTTCTCCGCGTAAGCTTGCGTTGAGAATTTAGGGCAGTGATGGCCCGGTGGTACCGTCACCAAATTACCACCAACGACACCACCAACTGCTGAGTTTCCCCATTATGTTATAAGGTAGCCTACTGTTTACGGTTTTCGCCTACCTGAAGTTGTATCTTTGTTTATTCCATATAAGGAAGTAAATATACTTATACACAAGTGTGAATCAAGACTGTACCAAACAAATGACTTTGGTCTTTAGAAAAAGGAGAAATGTTTGCCCAGAAATAAATCATGGAACTTTAGTTTTCCTTAGAAGACTAAACTAATGTCTTTGTATAAAAATTAAGACGCATAATGGAGTGGGATGCAGGAGTGTCGTTGAAGCTAATGTGATGTAGGTAGATTTGATCCAACTTTTGTACTAATGTTTATTACAAAACCTGTTATTCTACATCTGTGCATTTTACGCATTACAACTCATAGAGTCGTACTGAACTTGTAATATATTTGGGGGGGGGAGTATTACGTAGAGTTTTGTACAGGCACCACACCTGTTTTATGAACATTACAATTAATAAAAAGTGCTTTGTACCCGCCTCCCAACANGGTTGTTTATGTGCCGCTTTTTAGCTCATTTGATGTCTTGTTTCAATCGATGGTTACTTTACCGTCTTAACTCACTAATAGTGCTCGTGACCATAGATATTGTCAATTTGCTGGAGCAATCGAATGAGATGGTACAAATATTATATTCTTAAAAGACGGCTATTTGTTCAAGGTGTTTTATATGAACCGTGCAAATTAGGTGTGTGGGATTCTGACTCTCAACCCAAGCGAGCGCATTTCGAGTTCCCGGTCGGAGAAACAAAAGCAGTAAGCACTGCCTACGAATCACAACAAGCACGAAACCACTGTTTAATACTCTTTGTCAGTCATTATAAAAAAAACGGGTTTAGTAACTTACTGAGGTAAATGCTCCGTCATGCATGGTGAATACTGAGCTGGACAAAATTTCACGTGACTGAAACGTCGCGGAATACGGCAGGAAAACGATCCGTTAGGGCCAGTAACATGGGAATAGTTCATCACATCCGTGGGGTCAACTGGTAATTGCCACATTGTATCTCCGCAATTCGAGCTACAATGATGCTCAGAATATGTTTGTTTTTCCGGTGCGTTCCACGACTCATCGCCCACCAAATCACTTACCGGTTCTCGTTCATCCCGATTGGTCCCAGATGCAGATGGCACATCGATCGGCGCGTTTTGCAAGTCGTGTGACACATTTGATCGATTCGGAAAATACAAACTCGAATAACCTGGCACAGACAATTCATTCAACTGTTTCATTCGGGCATTTTTAGAATGGTTGTGCAACTGAGTCAAGATAGGTTTGTTATCGGGCACTGTGAAAAATCGACGACTTGGGACAAATGTATTCGAGGTCGGGGTTCGCCGCTTACGTGA